ATTAAGAGAGATCTAGTTTATTCTAGGACACATTCACACACACTTAATCGTTGGCTAAGAGATTAGTAGCGATTAAGGGGCCGTAAGCTCGCTCGTTTTGGCAATAATTTAGAATCTTGTCGCATGAGAGATTTGTCTGGTCCCCTAAATTATTGTACTCTACGCCGCGAGAGCGGTAAGAACCTAGTATTGATTAGCTAGGCTCAATTAAATTAATTTCATGTAATTAGGACTGATCTGTCAGAAATCTGATTAAGCCAGAATCAATCCCTGCTCCCTTCGTCGTTAATTAGAGAGAACCCAATCTTTTATTTTAATCGTTCATTCGCATTAGTTTAATTTTAATTCAACCAACCAATCTCGCACGACACATTTATTTTATTTTATTCCTTTTTAATCGCTGAATTTAATTAATCCTTGATTCTCTTTTGTCCGTCCCTGTGGAGATGATACTCGTACTTTCACCGCTATTCTACAATCTTTTTAAGTGCGAGAAAACTCACATCAGTTTTTGGCACTGTTGCCGGGGACAGTGTCAGATTTGAGGGTTGATTAATATCAGCGACTCGTTTTTAGTTTTTCGTAGGATTTTTGTCTGCTAAACTTGCAGGTCAGCTCTGTTTATGCATACACGTTCTAAGAGGAGAAAACCGTTAATCCCTCTTAACCTTGAGATTGAAAAGCTCACCAGACAAAACCGCAAGGCTCAAAAGGAAAAGAATAACATGGACCATCAGTCTTCATCTGGAACCGCAGGGATGTCGGGTAACCCTAACCCCACATCTAAGCATGATTTCTATGTGAACACGTCACCCCAATCTTCACCACCAATTTCACCTAGAAACCCTTCTGGTTTTCAAAACTACCGTACTCCGGGTTTTTTCCAAAATCAGCCTTCACCACAATTCAGCCTCCCTCCATTATATCAACTGTTTCAAAATACCCCTACTGCTCCTGAAACCAATTTTCAAAATCAAGTTTATGGGATGCAAGGAGCAGGGCAGGGTATTCCCATTTTCCAACCGAGACAGAACCAACCTCCAATCAATCAACCCACATTCCAAAATCAGACCGAGTACCAAAATCCATACCCCAATCAGTTTCAAAACCAAACCCAAGTCCCACCTACTCAGCCATAACCAGCCCCCCAACCTAGACATCAAATACCTCCACCCAATCCATATGTACCGCACAATAACCCACTCTATCAGCGCCAGACCATTGCAGAATTCCTTACACCAAACGTTTCAGAGTATGATAGCATTCAGGTGCAGGGAATTACTGCCAACCGTTACGAAATCAAGCCGGCGGTGATAAACATGGTGTCCAATAATCAATTTGGAGGACGCCCTACAGAAGACCCAGTGGCACATATTACCCGTTTCTTGAGGATGTGCCAAACTTTCAAAATACCTGGACTTACTAATGATCAGGTGAGAATGATGCTTTTCCCTTTCTCATTGTGGGACGATGCGCAGACGGATAGGCACTTAAAGACATCTTTTGACTCAAATCACCGTCATACCAATTGTTAAGGGTACCATCTTAACAATTAGAGACATTGCAACTCGAGTACCAAAAGTTCTATAAGTACAAAACTTCTTATACTCATGGTTTTCAATTTTCATTTTCAAAAAGAATTTTGAAGCTTCATTATGATGTTTACGGACTAAGGCTCTGATACCAATTAAATTGTCACGCCCCGGACCTTCCCGGACACGTCAACAACCCGCCGTACAGTACGAATAGTCAACCGCAGTTCAACACATCCATACTATACAAGGCGTCTGGAATATCGTTCACACATAGTACATCCATAAACAAACATAATGTAAAAACATTCATTAAAGCAGCGGAAACATTAATACAAGTATTCAAGCCACACTTGGCATCCTTAGGCATGCAAGCCCCCAAATAATTGTTTAGAAAATAATATCCATGAGCATTATTATAATTGTTTTTGAAACAGAAACGGAGGAAGCACGAACCACGTCTTCTCTCCTAGATCTTCCCGAATCCACGGGCCCTGGTAGCAAGCTCAGCTCCTACCTGAAACTGTGAGGTGGCCTCTCCCGTGAAGGGGAGGTCAGTACTTGGAAGCATTTGACAAGTACAATGACAACTATACTAAGTATAATCAATGTTTCAATTTCAAAGACCCTCAATCTAGGGTGATATTATACTATAGGCCATAACCCTCGGTTATCCCTTTTCCAATCAACATACTTACTTTATATAAAGTCAAGTAGTCGGCCCGTGGGCCCATATTCATTTAGCGTTCACCATCTTAATTCCCCGTGACTACAGGTCACGACAACCCCATAGGGTTCCCTCGAGTCCTGATTGTATAGCAAGGGCTCGGCCCAACTACATTTCTATACAATCATTCAACTCAATTTATCACATTAAAATTGTATGGCAAGGGCTCGGCCCAACTACGTTTCCATACTAACCACAACTTCGTGACAAGGGCTCGGCCCAACTACGTTTCCACGAAGATCACAAATACATGACAAGGGCTCGGCCCAACTACGTTTCCATGCTAATCACGTTACATGGAAAGGGCTCGGACCAACTACATTTCCATGCAATCCTAGAGTCCAACTCTAATTCATTTTCATAGTCCAATTCTCAAGCAAATCCTATGCCTAAATCAACCCACTTGGGGAGCCTTTAGACTTACCCCTAACACACCTTAGTGTTCGTACCATTCAACCTTAAAGTATCTCTTAAGACTACTTAAGGCAAGTTTATTCCCCATCCTATCCCTTAGGATTAATTCCATTACATCACTCTCCCGACTAGTATTTTAATACTAGTAGGTTAGTCTTAGAACATATCAAGTTCTTAATTCAAATTGACATTTTTTTTCAATTGATTTTCCAATCCAAATATATCACAATATTTACATAGTTAATTCCATTATCATGTCATTCCTTTCATGCCACATAATCACACAATTTATTCTAAATTTGTATTTCATGCTCCTTTTACTCATATCAATAGTGTTTTCATTTAAGCATCATTACTCATTAATAGCCCATGAAAATCACTTTTAATACCTTAGGAAATCTTATGAAATTAACTCACTAATTATAAGCAATATAGTCAGCCATCCTCACCTCGTGATGTGCTACGATAGTTGCCCTTGTTAAGCCCCTCGATCAATCCCCGTTCTAGGCCGATTCACGAAAGCCGGGTGGCTTTCGTAGTCTGCAACTACGAACAGCTCCTTTGAAGCGGCGGTTTCCGACGATTTCGACTCCTATCGGTTTGCCAACCCAACCCTCCTCAAGAACAACCCATTTTTCCTTGGATTTCCCTTGTTGTTGCTTCCTCCACACTATGGATTAGCTGAGAGAGTTTCCTGGAGCTCCTTCCTCTTGGTTGGTTCGAAATTATGCAAGAGAAAGGGTGGGGGAGTGCTCTACTCAATCACCTCTTATCAAAGGTGGGATAGGAACATGGGGTGTGGGATTTGTCTCTTGGAGACTTCCCACCTACTATGTACGCCCCCTAGCTGCCTTCTGGTCATTTGTGATACATAAAATCGTGGGGTGACCCCCACTCATGTGGGAGGTCATCCCATTATGCCCCGATGTGTATAATCAGTCCCAAAAGTTGTATTTTTCGGACTATTTAAGTCATATTTTATTTTATCGGCCGGATAAAATATATCACGCGCTCCCAATAATTATGAGTCTTCAGAATAGATGTACATTCCCCAACATTAATTTAGGAGTCTCCGAAACTCACTTCGGGCTGTTATCCGCCCAATTACCAATATCGGTAATTGGGCCCCGTTTGACCAACCGGTCAACTCCGTGCCTTTCTTATGGCCCAAATAAAATATCCACCACCATATAGATGTCATCTAGACCAAGATGAATATAATATGTGGTTCTGGAATTATCGGGCGGTCCCCGTTCCCGTTGTGGGCCCCACATGCAAATTACTATTCACGTAAAAGAAATAATAAAATTTAACAATTACATAGATTCATAAATCATCTTTCAAGGTTTATCACATAATTTACTAAAAGTAAACATGCTTGGGGACGGTGTCACACACCAAATTAATCTCATAATAATCCTTCCAATGAGGATGTCCTCATTCATCAACTTCAAATAATCTATTTTTTCTTTGTCGTGCATTAACCTCTACTAAATGAGTATACTTTTCAAATAATCTTAAAATAATCTGGATTCATATTATGATCCCAGATTAATGTAGCAAATAATCTCATTAAACAATTTATGTCACTCAATGATACTTCTATAAAAAAGCTGTAATGTCACCAATTTAATCTCATAATAATCCTACTAATAAGGATGTCATAATAGGTTTTATAGTAATAGGAATAAAAATAAGCCTAAAAATATTTCAACAGTAATGTTTCTAATTATACGAAGTACTTTCGTGAAGATGCACTTCCTCTGTTTCCAACTTAATAACAATAATTGATACCTAGTATTACCATATTTTTAACAATAATTGATACGTAGTATTACCACATTTTACACACGATGATTTCCAACTTTAATTTCGGACTGAGCTCTTGGGTGGGATCTCATTTTTAGTATCGCTCATTAATGGTCCATCATGCCCTCAATTTGGGGGATTTTTCTCTCCAATTGTGGTGCAAACACTGTTATTTTATATTATATAAAGATAAGAATGAAAAATTCACGCTCATTTTGAATTACTCCCTCCGTCCTAAATTGTTTTGCAAAGTCAACATTTTTTTGTCAACCAATAAAAAAGCCAATGCTACATATCGATAATTAATTCAATTTTTAATAATTAAAATTTATATATTCAGAAACTATATTAAAATATCTTCAAAGTTGTAAACTCCAAATTAGAATATAATTAAAAATTGACATCCTAATTAAGCAAGTAAAAAGAAACTGTTTGATTAAGAAAAGTTATATTTGTAAATCAAATTGGGGACGGAAGGAGTATTTAGCATGGAATTTTAAATTAGAGCGGCCCAGTTCCAGCGGCCGACATATTCGATCTGGGTCGCGCTCTCATTCAACGAGAATCGCTAAATACTTGCAGTTTTAGATTGCGTAGCTGACAAAGTGACGTGCAATCGAGCTCTTCCCTTCCATGACCTGATGACCACACAAACGGAACGGGAAGAAGAAGACGCCCGGGCTATTCGATTTAGGGCTACTTCTGTAGTTCTCTAAATACGGGTCTAGCTTTGCTGTAGGGGGCGCCATGGATTCCCCCGGTTCATTTCAGTTCGATATCTTTGATATCTACAGGCGGTATTCTGGTAATCTTCTTTGATTCTTTTTTTTGAAATTCCATTTTTTGATGCTGGGTATTTTGCTACCAAGCGATTAAATGCTTGATATCTTCAAAAGTCTGTTTTTAGAGAAATAGAAAATGATGACTTCTTTGTAAGATTTTGATGTTCAAGTGCACTGTCCAGTTTAGTACGTTGTCAGAGCAGTCCCGTTTATTCCTTGATATTTACTTCGTATTTGTTTGCTACATTTTTTATACACCATAAAAGAATCATCCCGTTTTTAATGCGTGACACGTTTTGTGACCAATTAATAAGTGACAAATGGATATTAAGTTGCATTGACAGTAGTTGTGGAGCTTTGCTGTGGAAACATTCCCAAATAACGCACTCATCCCCCCCTGATGCAGAAATCAAGGTTGGGGTATGTGCTAATGCGAATCCAGATGTTGGGCATCATAAAGCTAGATGCTTAAAAGAGGGACTCTCCCAACTCATGGAATTGGTTAAGGAGGCAAGAGCAGTGCATACAAGGCATGCATTTCTTATTATGAACACCTTACATCTGCATCAAGAGTTTGTATACAGTATACGTACAGGGTGTAAGTTGAAGAGTTTTAGGTAGGGATTAAAAGTGAGCTTTAGTAGTTAAGAAACAAGATTGTTTATGTTATCTAATTAAAAAACAACACTTAGAGCCTTTGGTAAGAGTAAAATTTGGCTGAAATGACTGAACCCGTTGAAATGTTACCTGAATTATCCCAAAATATATATCTAGACATAGTTTTTTGAAACAGATAATTAAGGTTATATCAAATGTAACAAATTTATTTCATTTCAATAAAAAATCAACTTTTGAAGTTTTTTTGACAATATCAACTAAGTTAGTGTGTAATTAAAGAATCTGGCGGGTAGGACTGAAAAGCAAGCTACCAAATAGGCACTTACACTCTTAGGGTTCAATGTAGGTGGAAGTGTTGGCCGCTAGACTACCCCTGATATGCATCTACTAGGGGTCTAATGTAGTTGTGCCCACCAACAAAGATCCCTTTTGAATGTTTCCCTGCCCTAAGTTTCGTTTTTGTAAGCAATTTATCCAGATACACGTATATTAGGCTCTAATATGGTCTATTATGAATTGTGAAAGGTTGAAACTATTGAAATAGTATGTTACTGTGGTGGCAGAATTTCATTGATGGAAGAGCTTTACAAGCTTATGTCACAATTAGATTTGAAGGTGAGCGTTTTCTTTGTCATATAGAAATGGAATGTTGAGACCTCATGCAGCCTAGAGCTTTTGATGATATCTGCCTTGAACAACATTCGACCGTAAAGCCCTGATCATTTAGTATATTTTGCAGGAAGACTTTTCTGAATTTTCCCGATTCTATGATTTTGTGTTCTTCTTATGCCGAGAAAATGGTCAAAAGAACATTAGTAAGTTTGTTTAATGGTTATAAATGGTTTTAGTACATAATGCATATAACTTGTACTTGCATAACCCCCTCTTTTCAAATTCTTATTTATTGTTATTGCATTCTTAGCTGTAAGAAAGGCTGTTATGGCCTGGAGACTAGTTTTAGATGGAAGGTTTCGACTACTTCACCAGTGGTGTGACTTTGTTGAGGTATGTTTTTATGCTAGTTAAAGTAAACTTGATGATATGTTTTTTTTGTTGTTAAACTACACATTATGGGTGTGCGGATGACTTCATTGGATGAATTGCTCTTGCCTACGGAAGTAGGACAGAGATTCAAGCAGGGAAGGACAGAAGGGAATATAGAAGAATACTTCCAAGAATATATTTTGATTGAATTCCAATTTCCAACTCGGCTTCCGTAATCATTCTTTCATAAAGGAATTGCAATTGTAATTAACAATGACAAACACTCATTTCTATATTTCCCAATTGTAAGAGAGAATTCCGAAGTACCTACTAACCAAATATATAAATACAAAATCCTCACCATCAATATGCCAATTTTTATTCACAAAGAAGGATACAGTTGGTGTATGCATTACTACTGCAGTAGCACCCTTTACCGGCAGCACCTGCTTTTTCTTGAATGGCTGGTATTTCTTTTCCGCTGCCATCGACGGTAGCTTCCATAATCTGGTGTTGTTGCATCTGTCCAGACATTATCAGTAGAAGTACCTCTACTGCTTAAGTGCAACAACCACCAGACACCAGCACAACATAAGTAGTCGTTCTTACTTGTAAAATTTTGTCTTTACACGTCTATTTTCAAATTTAGTGGAGCTAGTTTTAACATAAAATTTTGTTAGGTAGTGATTTATTGCTCTTTCAAGTTCTAATTAATGCTAATCAAAATTGAACATGACAGCCATTTCAACAAATCATTATGATTTTAGGCCATTGATTCGGTCCCATAAAGTACTCTTCCAGCTTTACGGAGTAAATCTATCTTTTGGATAGGGATCCATTATTTCCACCTCCATATTCTCATCATTGTAGAAGATATTGCTAAGTGTCTCCCCTTTTATAACAACTTAAGCTTTAGCCCTTGCTTGATTTAAGGATTTATGGCGGCAGAGGTGATATTTACTTTATTAGTACCTCCGCCCCCCTAATATTGGGATGGAAGAGAGTGGTGTGCTTTTTATGAAAAGTAGAATTATGTGGTTGATAATGAGTTGATAAAGCGGGAATAAAGTAAGAATGAATTAGAGCCACACAAATGTTACCAAATATGGTATGAGACAATATTAGGGGGACATCCAAAAATTGAAAAATGAGACAATTATAGGGGGACGGAGGGAGTAATTTTTATTTACATTTGGATGTTCTGAAAGATAAGTGAAGATGAAAACTATAGATTTACTTGATTTAACTAAGAAAGAGATATGAATTAGTAAAACCTATAATTCAATCCTCCCCTCCCCCCAATTCCTCCAACTAATTAAGTCCTTAATTTAACCAGTGCATTATGGTTTTTATGCCATATAAATGAACATGGATCCATTCCCATAATGATTGTCTATGGATGAGTGTTTTCCTCTTATATGTGTTGCCTTTGTATAACTATTTCCTTTACATATTCTTATCTGGTTGGCTTTTTTGTTGTTGAGAAGGGATGCTTACAAAAATTTAGAGTAAATGGTTTTAGTTTGCACAAATACATTTCAACCAGTTTACTGCCCCTTCATTGACAGAGAAATCAGCGACATAACATATCGGAGGATACCTGGCGCCAAGTTTTAGCTTTCAGTCGCTGTGTGCACGAAAATCTTGAAGGATATGATCCTGAAGGTATTGCATTTGTAACAATTACAGCTTTAAAATTGTAACAAATTATTTGGATTTCCTGTTCATTGTCAAGTGGTCATTCAAATGTGATTAACCTTTTAACATATTAATGACTAATTAATGATTTTTTTTTGCCTCTGGTGACATGTTTTCCCAATTCCGTTGTTATTCTTGGTAATATTCATTAAAAGTTTCTCTATACTACGTTAATTGTGAACATATCTTTAATGTGTATGACATATAAGCGCCCTTATGCTCGTCCAATGTATTTGAGCAACATGCTTAGTTGAAGGAAATCTTGGTTCTGGCGTTATTCGTTTCCTCGTCCATTTGTAACTCTTTTTTTTCCTTTCTTTCTGAATTCTGACAGGAGCATGGCCTGTCTTGATTGATGACTTTGCTGAGCACATGTATAGGTCTGTGATGAATATTAAGATACTTATATAGTTACATCAGTATATAGTTATATTCATAATAGAAGAGGAAGGTTGATTGAGCACTTATTTCCGTATTAATGTATTTGAGGAGCACACACAGAAACCTGGTCCACATTTTCTACAACTCCGGCGCCAACATGCACACACTCAAGCACACAAAGGAGATTCTTATGAGAGCACCTCTTATCATGAGAACTTTTAATTCCCACCCCCTCATTTTTCTAACCAATGACTATCACCCGAAAGTGTCATTTTGTAAATATTTTAAATTCAACTGGGGACTTTTGTGCAGCTATTTTAAAACAATCACAAAGATGCCATCTTTGAATATATTAGCCGTAATTCTAAAAATTGTAAAAATTAGAAAATTTTATTCATAAAGATGTTATTATGATAAGAGGTCACGTAAAAGCTCTCCCCTAGGGCAGTAGAAACACACGTAAATGCTTCAAAACACGCCGTCAGTCATCCTACAAAGCCCACTATCCCAAAACCCAGTATCCCTATATTTTTGTAAATAATGTTATGTATGTGTGTATTAGTGTATGTTTCCATCATTTTCAATGGTGCCAAAGATTCATTATTTTTTGGTTTGAGATTATGATGGAATAAAGCAAAATGGCTCACTAAACTGTCCGCGCTTCTTTGTTATGAAGCAGCAGTCAGTCCATGCAATTTTGGACGGGATTTTCACTATGGGTCATCCGGAAACAGTCTCTCTGTGCTTTAGTATAGGGGTAAGACTGCGTACATCCGACCCCCCCTTACCCCACCGTAGGTGGGAGCCTTTGCGGCACTGGGGTAAATGAAAATGAAATGTGTGTATTAGTGTATGTATACGTATGCATGTAGATGTATTATGTATATGTATACATACATGTATAGACACTCATATGCACAGATGTATGTATATAGGGGAAGATTCAATGAAGAACCTATCATATGGTAAGCTCCACTTTTAGATAGGCTCATGACCTCATCTAATCTCAGCCTTCTATATTTTTATTCAAAGGTTCTGGTTGATAAGGTATTTTTATAATATAAATAGAGGAAGCTCAAGAAATCGTTGGATTATTTACAAAAATACCATTTTATCAATAAGAGCCATGGCTTTGAATTATGAAAGCTAGGTTTATGAGTTATCACAAAATGAGTTCTCACTTTAATCTTTCCCTATATGCGTGTGTAGTATGTATATGAAGTTTGACGTTAGTAGATTTGAAATTGCAGGATTGGTGGATCTAAAGGTTCTAACCAATTAGTCTGCACTTGTGGTGATTCAGAAGCTCATAGATCTGATGAACAATCTCTGCGTGGTAAGATACTGTTTATCATATTCCATGGCTAATCACTTATAATGATAGAGAATATATGTGGGTTTCTTATCACAATCATGTTATCTAGGGTTGAAACTTTGTCCTGGTTTCAAGAGGAAGTCATGTGATGACTTGCTAATGATAGAACATGGAAAGTATAGTAATCTGAACAACGGGGAAGGTAATCCAACGCCAACATGTGCTCATGATTGTGTGGATATAGTAAAATATAACAATGGGCACTTAAAATCTCCATGTGCTGTTGAGGGGTCTCTCTCGAAGGGCTTTGCGGGGCTCTTCTCGAACGGGTCTTGTTTGCAATTTGAGAAGAAAAGCAGAGTTTCCTATACCTGAGGAATATTTAATATGCAGTAATTGCCTTCCGCAGGGAAAGCAGTTTTCTACTCATATTTGTCCTTGGGTTTGTCAGGGAAAGTAAGGTTTACTAGTACTTGTTCTCCATTTGGTTTTTGTGGTAGTATATTGTTAGATTTGTTTGTATGTATGGAATTAACAAGAGGGTGAATAAATGGTGATCAGTCATCAGTACATTTGAGGAAAAAATGTTTCTTTACAAAGCATATACCATCACTAACAGCTTATAGTGAGCTAATAATGCTCACAATTAAACAAAACAGTGTAATACCATGTTTTTTATTATTCCTCTTTTTTTTATTTATTTTTCTTACTCCAGAGGGGGCCGGGGACTGAGGGGTTTGGGGTAAAATGGGAGCAAACTCACTCCATTGAATATTGAACCCGAGACCTCCCATTAGGAAATGAGTCGGCGAGACGGCGACGAGCTGAGTTGAGCCATTTCCTCCTTTTTCCTCCCATTACATGGCAAATGGGGCAGTTTTTGTTTTCCTTTTGTCTTTTGTCTCTTTCATTATGTGTCCACTTTTTCTTCTTCTTCCATCCCCTTATTTCTTTATTAGCCCAAGGGGATACCTTTTTTCTTCTTCCCCTTTTAGAGAAGTTTGCAATTTCTTCACCTTTTTCCTTCTTTTCTTGTCCAGCTTATTAGAGGACAGTTTGTTCATGAAAGAGTGGTCACAACTGATGGTATGGTTGTTTATCAAAATATATATACTTTTTCTGATAGAGTTGCCTGGATTAATGTTGCTGCAATTAATAGTACAATCACTAGAAAATAATCGGGTGGGGGCACTGGAGCATGGCTTGTTTAACCAGTAGAAGTCACAATTTTGTTTACTACTCCGTATCATTTTTGGGCATATATTAAGAATTGAATTGAGTCGTTTCTCATAAAAAAGGGCATCCCTAGAATCATGTATGTTTTGTATATCCAATAATATGCACTCTACTCCGTTTTTGTTTAATGCTTTTTGTTTAGGTTCTGGTAACCTTACAATTGTACTACATGTAATTCCATGTAATTCCATACTCTAATACACCTCCGTTCTCTAATACTGGTCCTCTTTCCATTTTGGGATGTTCTCTATTAGTTGTCTCTCTTTCCACTTTTGGTAAGTTTTTTCAATAAATATACCCATTTACCCTCATTTTCTTTCCTACTTTTTCATTCTCTTTCCTACTTTTACCTTTACACACAACCCACTACACCTTTTAACCTACACATATTAATTCATTCTTAAATCTTGTGCCAAAGGCTATAGTCCCATCTATGAGAACAGAGGGAGTATAACTTAGTGCCAAGTCAAATGATAGATATTTTTACAAATACTAGACCTTTATCGTAACTTAGTGATGAAGCCATATATTTGTCAAAGGAGGGAGAGAGACGTACCTAGGGATGGACCCGGGCCGGTCTGGTTCCGGTTCCGGGCCGGGCCCGGGCTGGCTTTTTTTGCTAATCCTTGGGCTCGGAATCGGCCCGGGTTGATACCCCGACCCCTCCCTCTCACCCCACCCCCAAACCTCCCAAAACACCCAGCCCTACCCTAGGAAAAGAAAAAAAATTGAAAAAAAAAATTGACCCGAGCCCGGCCCGAACCAACCGGGCCGGTTCACCCAAAACTGGGCCCGAGCCCGGCCCGCCCGACCCGCCCAAACGGGCTAAAAGCCTGGAACCGGCCAACCGTTCCCGGTCCCGGTCCGGTCCGGGCCCGCACAGTAGCGGGCCGGGCCGATTTAGTCCATCCCTAGACGTACCAAAGGTTAAAAATAAATTATAGCATATTTGCGCAAGATATAATAAAATTATATAAAAAAAATCTTAGCATAGATTATAGTTGACTAGTCTTTTCACCCGTGCATTGCACGAGATGAAAAGTTATTTGATTTGATAGTAGTAATATAAGTAATTTTTAAATAAATGCATACCATTGCTTTTGAATTCGAATTAAATAGCTCTCAGTTTTATTTGAGAAAAAACATAACATCACATAACATCGCGATAATATGGTTGTCTCATTTCAATTTGACACGTTTATTATTAAAGTAGTTGAAAAATAAAAGTTGTGGTTGAGATTTGAGTAAAATGAAGTGAAATGATATGAATCACAAATTTTTTAGCAAAAAGGGAAACATGACATTCATTTTGGGACAACAAAAAAAGAAAGTAAGATAACCAAAATGGAATGAATGGAGTATATTATTTTTTTTTGGCCTGAACCGACACTAACCCCATGCCCTTAGTTCAACCCTAATTGCAACAATATGTATTTTTGTACTCTCTCCGTATTTAAACGTTTGCTACACTTTCTTATTTTTATTTGGGATGTAACTAAAAGTTTGCTACTTTAAACTTTTTTGAAAAATTCTCTTAAAAAACCTAATTACTCTTACTTTTTCTACTTATTATCATATTTTCCTTACCTTTTCACAATTTCTCCTGCTTATTATACACTATTCATTACCACAAGTATTTCTTAAATATTGCGGCAAGACATAACATAACGATCCTTTAAGCAATGAGGGAGTATAAAATATCTCGTTTGCTGCCAAACCATCCCTGTTCGGGGGTGCATCGTGTAGGTATTAGCCGGTCCTTTGAATCTTTGCTTGCCGTGTGTCTTTCTTTCATTTAATTTTCTTTCTTTTTCGTTTACGTGTTTGTCTACTTGTATGTATTGTTCCTTTCATGTTACTTCTTAATTTTATGTCTTTTTTGTTTACACTCATGGTCCTTATATTTCTACTCCACAATGTGCATATTACTCCATCTGTTCCATTGGACTTTGTCAACTTTCCCTTTTTGTTGTCCCAAAAACCTTCGTCACTTTCCTATTAAAACAACTAATTTGTGTTTGTGCACATTTCTCCCTCCTCTTCACAAATCTCAACCACACAGTTTTTACTATTCTTATTTCTCACATACTTTGCACTTGGCAAAAGTCCACCGGGACCGAACTATATCTTTCAAATTTTAGATGTTTATGCGTTCTACTCCAAATTTTACAAACATCTTCAAAAATTGTTAGATTATGTATGACTTCTAAAACCCATAAGTGGATTTTACCAAAAACCACGATAGGGGTGCAAAAGAATGAGTCAAGCCCCAAACATTATGTGCTCAAATTCTACCCTAATTTGGTAAACTTGGTGCTCGGTTCGAGCTCGGAGCTGGAGGAGCTTTATACATGAGACTTGATAGATGTTTGGTGTTCAGTTCGAGTTTGGATACACTTTTTAAATGTGTTCCAATATCGGAATTTAGCCCATGCTAAAGAATTGGATTGTGCGAGGAATTTGAGAAGCACTCCGATTCGTTAATAATAAAACTTAAATTTAGAAAATTATTCTAAACATGTTTACATTTTAACATATAATCCTTTTGTTCCATAAAAAATGATCAAATTTGATTTACACGTGAATTGATAATGCAAAATCCGTGTGATTGAGATTCACGCAGAAGTGGGGGAAATTACATATTTGAACAACCTATTTCTTATTGTAAATGGAATTGATAATCTTTTAGAAGACAATTAAGTTAAAAAAGTTTGATAAAGTTTTGTGGAACCAATGAAGAGTATAAATTGTGCTCATATTTTATAGGTGTTTGATCGGCTCTGCCTCAATCCTAATTGAACTACATATCGAAAATATCAAATCCTGCTCATGCTCAATTTTTGGACAAATTTAAATTTAGTTGATTAGATTCAAAAGCTAGCACGAGGTTGAACGATAAAAAATGCTTGATTCGTTATTACTTAGACTAGTTCTACTAAACCTCTAACAGAATCTCCAATGCTAAAACGTTAAATGTGCATACGTGACATGAGAACTAAAACGTTATTTGAAGGTAGAGATAAGAAGTACGTAGTATGAACATCTCATCATCTACATATTTTACTTTGGAGTGAACAAGGCCGACTTGACACATTAAGAGACCCAATGCGAATCACACAAATGGGGCCTTTTATTAAATAAAATGCATAGATCTAATGTGTAGACGTATGATTCGCTTTTATTTGGAGTTGGACCGTTCGGTGTATAAAGGTGTTTCGAAAATGCAAATGGGCTCCTATTAATAAATTAAACAATTACTTTATAGAGTAATGTTCCAGTTAGGAATTAGCAATTTTTTAATGCCTAATTTAGGATTTATAGTGATATAAGTTAGGATTGAAACATTAGATTAGTGTGAATTATTATTGTGAATTAATAAAATTTTAACAATATCACTTAAATGTAAATTAACAAAGTTAAACTAGTGAACTTTAGTTCCGGATAAACCTGCAAAAAAAAACGTTAGAAAATAAAAATAGCTCGAGTCGCGTAAACGTTGTCCTCAAGAAAGTATTTCCGACTAGCGAAAATCTTTCCCCAAGATAAAACGAGCTCTTCGGCGTAAGCCGGTAACAGAACAACGAGAGTAAAAATACATATATTAATCTAGCAGAGTAATAGGGCAGAAAATATATTTTAATTTGCTAGCTACTAAATATGAAAAGTAATATTTTCTTTTTCTTTAAAAACAAGAACGAATCAAGTTTGACACTAAAGCTCATTCCCTTCTCATTCTCGCTTCATGCAAACATGTATGTGTGTGTGTACACACACACACACAGGGTCATGCTATGGTGCCTTTGAAAATTTGGAAGGTATGGTCCATCTCATTGTTTGGCAAATGAAATATTGACACATGGAAATAGTGACACATGAAATAGTGCAATTAATGAATTGACTTGGAATGTTATTGGGTGAGAAAGGCAAATGTATGGTACACTCCAAATTTGAAGAGGTACCATAGAATTCTCCACACACACACACACACACACACACACACACACACACACACACACACACACACACACATATATATATATATATATATATATGGGTTGAGTTCTAATGAGAAGACATCTTAACGTGAGAAGTGAGAAGTTACACATTTACCTATTTCTGATGCACTTTTTTGCTAATCTGATGCACTTTTTGTGATTGCAGAAAAGTTCCGATTAATTACGGAAATGCCACCGCGTCTAGCATCACATTTTTAATCATTTTTTGCACTTTCCCATGCACTTTTTTGCTAATCTGATGCACATATCTTAAATTGAACGCACAAGATGCATTCTCACTTCTTACGATAAGACACACACACACACAAAACTCCAACAAACAGAATGAAACGTTGGAGAGTAAAAATTACTTTAATAATAATTAAAGCTAGTAGCTTGTAACGGTTTTAAAATGAAGGTGAATGCAAAAAGTTCATTAATGCATATTAATAAAAAATCATAACACTATCAGATAGCTTTTAACAATCAAATGTAAAGTTCACAACTTTTATTTCGTTATACGTATAATTTTAATATGAAGAGGTAAAGGTAGAGTATATATATAAGATGTACAAATATTTAATTGAAAAATTTTGGTTAAATTAAAAGTTATCAAAATAATTAAAATTAATAAAACATTATTCATTTGAAATATTCATAATATTTCCAACACCGGACCCGTGAAAAAGAGGGTGTCACCATGGCAACTCATCACACATTCTTGGAATCCGCACGGGGTTCAGTCGTCGCCGCCACCTCGCCTCTCCAAAATTGAAGTAAATAACGCAACTCCAATTATTCAATAAATTCCTATTTTTTTTTGATTATAATAAATTTTTGAACTTGTCGAGGAAGTATGAGGAAGATCAAGGGAAGAACGTCGATGAGAGTGGTAACTCGGATGCCGATCTTGAAGAGAGTCAAGATGATGATGCCATCTTGGTGGCTACCGGAGTTTACAAGGGCCGGGTGCGCCGTTCCTGGGAGCTGAAGGTAGACGGATCTTGCAAAACTCCAAAGGAGCAATCTCATCTTCTCAACAAGTGTATGATGAACGGGATGAACGGGTTGCCCACCCGGAGAAACAATTGGCGGAATGGGAGGAAGAGGACCAGAGAACTAGAGAAAGGTTGGCTGAGTTTGAACGTCAAATGAATCGTTTCAACACCACCTATTGCCCTGCCATGCACATTAAGCAACCCGAGATGACCCCTCAAATTCCCTTCATGGGCGGCATGGGCGGTATGGGCGGTATGAGTGGCGGTATGGGGTTCACCAAATATAGCACTCTCTGTCCAACACTTTTCCGTATTCGTATTATGATCAACCATTTCAGACTCCTGGAGGTCGCGACAGCCGAGGCTGCAATCGAGCGGGCAGTCGAGGAAGCGCTCATGGCGGCAGGCAACCTGAACAGCACGTACAATCCGCTGATGATGATAATGATATATTTAATGATGACTATATGAACTTGTAATAATTAGTTTATTTGAAATTTGATTTTTTATTAAATTATTGCTATTGTATGAATTTCTAATGATTATTGTTATATAATGTTTATTCATTTTGTGATTGTATGAATTGTTTTTATAGTGTTTAATTATTATAAAAAATTTATTTGAATTTTTAAATTTGAATTTTTATTAAAAAGTGCGCAAAAAATATTATTAATTTTTTTTAAATATAAAAAGTTTGTCACAATTTTTTTTTATTTTTTTCAAAACATTGTTCTAATTATTCCGTCACAAAAAAATAACTTTTTTAAATAAAAATGTTTGTCACTGATAAATTCGTGACAACATGAAAAATATTTTAATTCAAAAAATTTCAAGTTACCCGCCTAGTCCATTCCGGATATTTTAAAAAAAATCAAAATGAATTTGTCACGGATCTAGATCCATGACAACAATTTTGTCACACCAAGGTTGTCACGGATAATGGCCGTGACAAAGTCCGTGACAAAGAAACTTTGTCACGGATTTTTTGGGCTGCTGGCCGTGACAAAGTCTGTGACAAACCTCTTGTTTTTTTGTAGTGAAGAACATCTTCTATTCCGATCCCTATACCCTAGCTATTATATGTCAAACTTACAAAGTACATACCCTAGCTATTATTATCAATAAAGTATAGAGTATTTTTCTTCTCTTTAGCTTTATTATGTTCTCCAATTTCTTCCCTGATTAGTGTTTGTGTTTTTATTAAAATAATAAAACTCGATAAAAAAATCTCAACACTTATCCCACCGGCTAATTTTGGCGATTTTTCTTGATAAAAAACGGTGCCATATATACTTTTATAGTTATATGTAATGTTTTAATTACTTAGCTAAAAAATGGTTCCGTTATTAAATCCATATTTTCCACTAGTATAGAGAGTTCCCTAACATTTAGGGTGTGTTTGGGAGTTGAATTTTGGAGGGGAGGGAAAGGTTAATGGGGGTTTATGACCCTCTTTTTCATATTTGGGAGTTTAAAAATTGGAGGGGATGGTTTTGGAGGGGTTTTTGTAACCCTTCAAAACCCTCCAAATGCTTAATTTTTGAGTTCCTCCCAATTTGGAGGGTTTTGGAGGATAATTAACAAGATAATAATTTAAGCTAAATTAAAAATGAATATCAGCTCAATGATTTGAATTCGTCATATCTGACGGTGATTTTAATTATAATTCTTTCAAAAACCCTCTTCTTCCGATTTTATTACTCCCAAATACAAAGAAGGGCTTCCTCACTCTCCTCTTCCTTTCCCCTCCAACAACGTACCTCCAAAACCTTCCCCTACCCTTCCCTTCAAACTCCCGAACATATCCTTAGGGAAAATACCAAAAGATGGTTAAAAAATCCTCCCAACATAAAATTGAACCCCTACCCTCTTGAAATGGGTATAGGTGATAACCCAAAAATCTATATCGAATAGATAAAAATTTTATCTAAAGAACCTTATACCATGTGTTATGTATGTAATCACACACCTTCAGATTTGGAATACAGTTGATTACCCACTCCTTAAATAGTCTTGCTTTACTTGCAAGGGCTTTTTAAACTATTTTTAATTTATTGAACTAAAAGTTTTGGTAAATCCTTCACTTTATTCTCCATGAAAGAGGTGAAACTAAAAAATACTATTTCGTTCTCGATCACTGACATCAAAACATTAAGAGATGATACGATTATTAAGGAAAACACGTTTACATGATTGATATTGAATTGATAAAGTAAAAGTGATTTAAAATTACATAAATTTATCAAATTTGATATTAAACAATCTTAGTGAGACTGACCATCCATAAAAGAAAGACGTGACAATTTCAGCGGCGCGAAAGGAGTGAAGCAATAAAGCATACACAAATAGCACACAACACACATCTGGATTTATTATATATCAGTTAATTAGAAATGGGTAATTATTTGCATGATTGCGGTGTAAGTACCTACAATCATGATCCCTACCCCTATAACAACAATCCAACATATAACAATAACCTCACCAAATCTCAGTCTTCCATAAATCCTGCAAATCTTCAAGAAGCACAAACAAGGCATGATGATTGAAACAGTCATGTTCATCAAAGCGCCCACAAGTGCCATTAAGTATCCAAAAAAAGGAACAGCTATTGCCACAATCACAGTGCTAATTACCACACTAGTTCTTACTAATACCCGCTGCATGGTAATTAGTAATAATCTCTTTTTTGAGCAATAATCACCATCTTCATCAACAGATCTCTCTATGGCCTTCACTATGGGAATCACCAGCAGAGCATACTTTGCTATGGGATTCACCATTGTTGTGTAAATTGCAATCTTGGAGCTTAGATTCTCTGTCGGCAGGTTAAGCGTTACTTGGGAAAGCGTGTGAGAACCAAACATAAGGTATCCCAGAATCGCCATTGATGCATAGCTGGCAGTAGCGATTGCAAAGCAGACCAACAAAACCTATATATATTCCAATTTTTGCATGGAATCACATTGTTTACTATATATAGAGAAAATTCTAGAGGTCTTAAAGAGTCATACTATACATGAGTTCTCTATGAGAGGATAATCTATGTTAGGGTGGGTTATAATAAGTTATACCAACTTTTTTTTCCAAGTTTTTAGAGTAAATCTTTTTATTTTTCAAACTCACTCCGTTAATGTTTAAGTCAAATATAATTACTCCTTAGCCAGGTCAATATCGATTCCTGGATCTGCCCTGCTGGCCTATATGGAATCATATAGGTTATGTGAACATCACCATAATATTTAAAAAGCAAAATTTATCAATGATTTAGCTCAAATGATGATGATGATGATATAATGATAATGTCAAGATAAACAATTCATATTTTCATCATTGTGTTCTGCTGATTTTAATATTCAGTCATGTATCTCCTATTTCAGCTCCTGCAACTTCTAATTAACCTTCTAAGTATTCTCAAAGAAATTTGATGTTTAATTTGTTCCATGGTTCATCCGGAAAGGAAACACAATTATTATTGAAAATGTAATCAATTTTTATATGCATTGTTTGAAATTCCAAATTGTAGAATATAATATGTTATATACGTAGTATATTTGTATCATTCAAAATAAATTTGAAGAAGGGTATGCATATCATTTTAACACAAAAATGCATAAATTCAATGAAAATATCTGATCTGTAAATAATTTTAAATATTGTACATCATAGTAGCGAGAGTAATTAATATCTATATTCTAAGCTTGAGTTTTCAAGAATAGAGCATGAAGAGGGTCGAGGAAGAAAGGAATTGTCTTATGTATTGTAAATGAATTATTTCTTATGTACACATATCTTTAATTATCTTATGTATTGTTAATGAATTATTTCATTCATATCTTTATCTTACGAAATTATTCCATCACTTCATACATAGTATACGTAGTATAATACGGAGTATATGTTCCATATAAAAGTTTTTTGACATTACCGGACTTTAAACATGACATTATTTTTCAAAAATGACAGTGATGACTTCTATTTTTGGAATAAAAACATGACAATCCTTATTTGTAATTTTCAATTTTTTTTACTCCATTTGGGGAATTTTCCCTTTTTTTTACCATAATCTTATACATAGTATATAGTCTTATACTACCCGTGTCACGAAACTTGATCAAATTTTCATTTTTGATCGTTCTAATTTTTTTTATCATTTTAATTTAAAGTACCAAATACTTCGTACTTCATATATATGGTTAAAGATACGGAGAATTTCTTTTTCCCTGCACATATCTGTGCAAATAATGTGCAATATACTTAGTACTTTGTAGAGTATTAAATTATTACTTTTTATTTAGAAATTGCAATAAATATGAGTAAAAACGCTTTGAAATTTCAAAACAGGATTATCATGTTTTTTATTCCTTGAATAGGAGTAATCTGCCAAGTTTGGAAAAAAATGTCATGTTTAAAAGCCTAGTAATGTCAAACTTGGCAGAAATTTACTTTTATTTAGGGAATAAAAAACATGATAGTCCTATTTTTGAATTTCAAAACTTTTTTACTCCTATTCCGAATTTGAGTTTTTTTTTTGAATTAATGTTGATTAATTAATTAATTATGAAAATAATGCTGGGTTAAAAGTATTTACCGATATACTGCTGGAATTAACCATGGTCGGGGTAAGTCGCCAAACGGTTGGGTGACTTATAAGTCGCCCAACCGTTTGGCGACTTACCTCTTAAACAGAAAGTCGGGTTCGCCGTTTCAGACAGAACGCAAACAATCCCCAAATCCCCAAACCCTCTGCAGATACGAGCGAAGTGCGGCGACCAACCTCTGCCCCGACTCCGGCGAAGGTTAATCCCCAAACCCTATGTAGATATGACGCTATGTGGGACAGGCGAGCTGAGCTTGTTGTGACTGGGACACCGACATTAGTCCCATCTGTTTCGGAAGACTACATGGGATGGTATTACAACATCACTCGTTTGATTGTGTCTCCTTCGTTCAGACTCCCTACTCACCATTATCATCCTAGTTCCTTGGCTTTGCATCTGACGGTAAGTATATTACTAATTACTAAAGTAAGGAGTTTTCTTTATTTAACACTTTTATTTATTTCTAACTAATTGTAATTGTGTTTCATATTTCAGACACGAGCTTTGCAGCGTATACATCAGCGGGCTACTATCATAGTGAGTGATACGCATGACGTGGACATGTACGGTCAGGCTTTGACGGGCATCGCCTCGTTATGTTCAGATGTGTTGGGGTGAGTCGACTACGGTCATCTTATACATATGCCCCCATCTCAGGATATGCCATCAACATCTAGTGCAGCGACAACTTCATCATCCCAGACTCAGCATGAGAGAGTGGTTCTTCAACCACGCCAGCAGCGTAGGCAGCAACAACAACATCTCCATGACCAAGATGATCAAGAAGACCATGGGAACTTGTAGTTTGTCTTTTGTATTGGAGTTTTTCTTGTACACTAGATGTTGTAGGAAGAATTGACTTTATTTTACGTATTTTCACCTGTAAACTCTTTTATGATGTGTTGATGTGTTCGATTATGAATATTAGATGACTACTGTGTTATGAATATTGCATTATTATTGTACTGTGTTTTACTGGTTATGAATCTACTAGTTTGTATCTTATTTGTGAAGGGTATGTATGCGGTGTTTTGTATGTTGTTGAGAGAAGGTGTTATGTATGTGTTTGTGAGGAGGTGTGTTGTATGTTTTGTAATATGTTGTAAAGTAATTGCTTAAGATAAGAGTAGAACATTAAAGAAGTTCCAATGTAAGAGTTACGATTGATTTATTACGTAAATAGGAGCTATTTAATAAACTATCCGTTCTTTGAATTGATTTATTCCAAATTTACACTCCCCACATTTAACAGTTGGCTCATCCGTCAATAGCTGTCACGCTTTCCTTTATTTGCTGTCAAGCACTTCTGCAAGTTGTCATCTCATTTATCTCTCTGCACATCTACGAAAAAAAATTCACTCCTCAAATTAGATCACACACTTCTTGTGTTGTAAAGATCTCACCGGAGAAAATCCTTCATGAGGCGGCCGGCACACCAAACTATACGGCGGCGGAGCTACTGTATGGCGGCGGCGCGGCGGAGCTGGACACCTAGGTGGGATTTCTTCTTCTTCTCCATCTTCTTCTCCCTCGTCCTTGCCCTTAGCTTGTCCTCTCTTGTCTTCTTCAATTGATTTTTTTTGCTATTCTCCATTAATTTTTTTCATTTATTTCAGATCTAGATTCTAACTGAAAATTATTAGTAGTAGTAGTTGAGGTATGCAAATTTTGGATTGAAAATTTTACGAGTATTTGAGATCTGATCTGTGAATTTTCAAATTGTAAATTTTAAAACAGTTTTTTTTCTATACCTACTAATTTATTTTTAAAAATGACGTTACCCGAGTACTTTTTTTCAAATGACAGTTGGAACAAATACTCCGTATCATTTTCTAGTCATTAAGATGACAATAACATAGTAGTATTGTAAGTTATTAATATTTTAAGATGGCAATAAAATATTTGTGTTATTGGTAATGAATGTCATGACAAAGTTATAATATCATATTTTTGACAATTAATGTCATTTATATGATACTAACTCCGTGATAAATGACAATATTTGACTATCCCCAATACAATATTATAATTTCATGGCAATGTTAAAATATTTCTTATCATTTCCAATCTAAAAATTTTATTCAAAAATTGAATTAAAATATTTCTTATCCTTTTCAATCTTGAAATTTTATTAAAAAATTTATGCCATCCTAAGAAGGAAATATTAGATCTTTTAATAGCACATCACTTGTAATGCCATGTTTTCATTCAAAAAAAAAATTATATCATAATTTGACAATTTGTGCCATTAAAAGGATGTGCCATTTTTGACATTTAGTTCAATTAATTCAGTTATAATGTCATGTTTTCATTATGAAAATTGAGATTTTGGTCATTAATGTTAAGATGACAATGAATTGGTAAGATGACATTTTAGTGTAGATCTACAATAATCTCTTCGGAGAAGAAGGTGGCAGTGCCAGAAGCCAAGATTTTTGCACTATATGAGGTGGGCGGCAACAACGTGACTAGGTGGTCCGCGACCGCAATTCAGATGCAGTGGCCGGCAACAGCCATTAAAATATGTGGCGGCCAAAGGCAATATTTCAGGGGCATCGACCAGCGATGTCGATTTCTATTTTAGCGGCGGCCGGCGATGATAATTTTAATTTTGGCGACGATGATTTTAATTTGGCTGGCGATATCGCCTGTGATGTTAGTTGTTGCTTTGTTTTATAATAATAATATTATAATAATAACGAGTTGTAGTGGTCACATCTTTGAAAGTGGGCACATCCCTGTAAAGCTGGTATTGTTATTTTGTTTTATAATAATATTAATTAGTATCAATTTCTAATTCTGATCTTACTCTGTATTCGTTTAGGGTAAAACACGGTCAGCTTCTTTTAAAAACGGTAACTTCCATGTGAAATTTGCATCTTACTTTCATTAAGGGTATTATGGTCCGCTTCTTTTAAAACTTCCGTGTGAAACATAAGTGAGTCATAGGACTTATAATTTGGTATACTTTTCATGTTTTACTCCTATATTGAGAATTTTTCTCTATGTTGTATCTCGTTCGTAACTCCTAAATAAGAGAAAGGAGAACTTTTTTAGAGGAAATTTATAGTGAGGGATAAGTCGCCAAAAGGTTGGGCGACTTACAAGTCGCCAAACGGGATGACGACTTATAAGTCGCCCAACCCGTCAACCGTTGGATGACTTACCACGACAATGATTAAACCCAACAGTAGATACGTAAATACTTTTAACTCATCATTATTTTCGTAATTAATTTTTAACTAAAATTAATTCGGAAAAAACTCTCCCAATTTACTTTTTTTATTACGTACCTTTGAGAATTGATTTGGATTTTTCATGGAAGTGTAAAGCATTGGAAAAACAGGATGTGCGCCATAGCCGAAAGCGAAAAGGCTAACAGCAGTCGGAGCT